CGCCGCGACGATTCTCACAGTTGAGGCTTGCGAGCCACAACTTGATAAGACAAACCGCGAGCGTGGTTGGGTACTCATTAGAACTAGTCTTGCAGTAATTGCATCACAGATTTTTTTTATTCTTTTTAGCAATTCCATTAAATCCTTCAGTTTCCTCCTCTATTTATTCCTATCGAAATTTTTTTCTTATCAAATTTTTCACACCTTTTCTCTTTCTTTAAGCACTTTATTATGCCTAGACGTCACCTCTCTGATTACGAAATTGGTCGGCTAGTAACACTTTTGCAGGAAGGTTGCAGCCAACGACAGGTTGCTAATGTTCTTGGTGTAAACCAGTCAGTTGTGAGCCGTGTGTATGCTCGATTTAGAGAGACTGGGGAGTATGTCCGTAGATCGGGGCAAGGACGCAGACGCGCGACAAGTTCTCGCGACGACAGAGCAATTACGCGACGTGCTCTTCGGGAGCCCTTTGTTATCGCACGCACTATTGCGGAACAAATTTAGAACCGCAGGCAAAACCCGCCACGCACGATCTCTAACACCGTGAGGCGTCGATTGAGGGAGGCTGGCTTACGTTCGAGGCGCCCGGTACGAGTCCTGTTGCTAACTGCTAGACATCGACGGCAGCGTTTAGCTTATGCTCGTCGTTACATACGCTGGTCTCAGCGTCAATGGACAAATGTCCTTTTTACAGACGAGTCCCGATTCTGGCTCCGAGGGAGCGACCGACGGGAACAAGTTTGGCGTCGTTGTGGCGAACGTTACGATGCCAGTCATACAAGGCCGATCACCGCGTTCCATGGGGAATCCGTTATGGTTTGGGCCGGAGTATCGCGGTATTTACGTACACTGCTAGTTATTCTTTCACGTGGTGGTTTGACCGCCATGCGGTACGTGGACGAGATTTTGCGCCCCGTTGTGCTCCCTATGCGTCAGCGTATGGGCAACCGCTTTCTGCTTGTGCAGGACAATGCAAGGCCTCATGTTGCACGCTATACGCAACAATTTCTTCAAGAAAATCGAATACCAGTTCTTGACCATCCACCAGTGAGCCCAGATTTAAATCCCATTGAACATGTTTGGGATATTCTTGGGCGTCGGTTGCGACAGCAATACCCAGACTTGGCGAATTTAGGGCAATTAGCGCACGCCCTCCGCCAAATTTGGCGAAGAATACCACAGTCAATCATACGGAGGTGCATTAATATGCGCAAACGATTAAAAGAAGTAATCAACCGGAGAGGCGGTAATACCCATTTTTAAACACAACATACGCATACATGCACTCGCGCACGCATCGGAGAGTGAGTTTGGAGTCAAAAAATACTGTGGGAGTGACGAACCACAGGGTCTCATCTCTCTATGCTTGTACATACGCAGTGAAGCGTAAATCCGACAGTGAAACCTCCTCGTGGTACGCCTTGGGTAATGCTAATGCCGGCAGTATTGTGCACCTTTTGTCATTGCGAAGAGATTGGATAGAAATGTGTTTGCTAAATTTCTGACATCTCTACTTTCTTCTGAAATAAAGTGAAACTAAGAAGACACAGACCACAACAGTTCAAACGCTGCGAAATCGTTTTAAAGAGGAAACGTGCCGCAAAAGAGTCATTCACCAATTTTTCAGACTGTATCGCAAGTTTCACTATCGAGGGCACAGGGTAAAAAAAATCTGATCAATGCGGCCTTTGGTACAGGGGTTACGTGTACTTTTAACTTAAAAAAAACGTAGACACCTGGAAGATTCCACAATTTTTGTTAAAATGGCATCGTGTGTTGTGAAAAATGGTAATTATGCAATATGTTACGTTATTTTGAAATGGACTGTAGACGACGAACAAAAATTTCAACAAATTGGCTACTAAAGGTCTTTAAAGAGAAATCTCTCAGCTTTCCAAGTCACTTCTTGAATTTTCTATACGATCATGCGTTCGCAAGTTACAGGCACTCAAAGTGGAAAGTACCTTTTCTCATATGATGACGAATAACTCGGCCAATAAAAACTGTACAACAAAATTGAAAAAACGAAATTAAAGAGAAATGTTTGCTTTTTAAAAGTATTCCATTCGAATTACCAGAAAAAATTTCATTTGGCCCATGCATCATCTCAAACTTGACCAACATGTTTTAACATTCGCTTACTGCGCTTCATCTTTACAAAAAAAGGAACAAACTACATAAAAATAATTTTTGAATTCCCGCTTCAAAAACTAGAAACTTCGGGCTACAAAATCCTCTGTCACAATATTTTTCATAGATATTTTTCACGAAGATATAGGCAACTGAAAATGACCAATATTTTCGGCAAATTTTAGTGATGCTTTAATTTTGGCGCCCAGTGTATTAATTTGAGAAGCATTTTCAAAATTAGATTTTTTTGTTAAGCTGGTCCACGCATATGCATTTTTTTAGAATTGTTGTCGGTGAGCATGGAAATACAACACATGGTCTTTTCTTTTTGTCCTCTAAATAATGTCACAAGTGTTCCGTCCTGAATACGGACTTTCTTTATTCACGGTATATTCATTTCTTTGAGCGGATAAAATGCTTCCTTCAAAATCTGGGAAATTCCTAACAACCCCTTTTGAAATAATCGGACAATAATGTATTCGGCGCGCGTATAATTGTACCTAATTCAAAGTCCTTTTACGTTAAAATAGTTTCTATGAATTCAATATCGTCCTACTTTCCGGTAATAAAGACATTTCCAAATTACGTGTTAGACTGCCACCGTGCAGTCTCGTTATTGCCTCCATTTACAATAGGGTTGCCTGCGTTTCGAGCGTTTTGGTCAGATACGTCTCACCCTAAGTACATGCTCATATACGCGCTTTATGGTCATATTCGGTAGTAGTAGTATTATTCCAATTGCGGTTTCAACTATGTGCATATTTCTTTTCAGACATGGAAAAGTAAAGGACCACTAACATCACATGTGCGTGAATCAACTGCAACGGTTCTCAGAAACGCGAAATATATCATTAATACAAAAATCGAATTTTGAAAATGCTTCTCATATTAATATCTTCGAAGCTAGTATTTTACTGACATATTACAAAGTGAAATTATACAATAATTAAAAATGAAAACTAAAGCGGTCGCATCAGGATTCCAACGGGGTCTTCATCATGAACGAGCACGTGAAAGAAATCATGCTGCTCTCGGCGTCAGTCCTTTACTTTTCTATATCTGAAAAGAAGTATGCACATAGTTTAAACTGCAATTGGAATAATAGTACTACTACCGAATATGACAATGAAAATGGTACAAAAGTGTTGTGTGTTGGGCTGTCCATCGAGTAGTGATGTACCGAGCCAAAAATTTCCATCTAATGTTGAATTGTTAGACCGTTGGTGGAACAATATTAAAGTATTTAGAAAAAATCCGTCATCCATGGAAGACTTGAAGAAGTTTCAAGTTTGCCATTTACATTTTGCCGATAATGATTACAAAATTGGAGGATATAAACAACGAAAATTAAAAGATAATGTAGTCCCATCGTTAAATTTGCCAGTAGTCAGTGAAAACATTACAAATATAATTATGCCTATTCCGACTGAGCCAGTGCATGAGATGAGTAATGCTGCGTTTTTTTAATTTCATATTCTAAGTATTTATAAATTACATAGGAATATGCTGCATTTTATTAATTTCATATTCTAAGTATTTATAAATTACATAGAAATATGCTGCATTTCAGAATAGAATTGAAGAAATTGAAGACATTACTTCCAGAAGCAGGGCCCAGTAATATACAAAATATAAGCAATGGCAGCTGTAGTATTGCAAAATACAAACGATGAAGATTGCTACAAAATTTACAATATTCAGCAATTGATTTAACTGCTAAAACAGCAAAATTGTTCAATATAGCCAGCAGAATAAGAAAGCAGCATGTGAGTGTGTCAAGGAAACTATTTTCATACAAGAACAGACTAAGACAGGCGGCAAAATGTAGTAGAGACACCAAATTTACAAGTCTAATGTCTTCTCTATCATACGATCAAAGAGTTTTTATTAATATGCAAATGTGGAATACCAAATATGTACCGAAGGTATGCAAATGTTTATATTATTCTATTACAAGAGCTGAAGCTCTTTAGCATCTACATACAGAATACAATTAATTTGATCATTTTAATTTAAATTTTAATGAAATAATATAGGGAAGAAGATTTACAATGATGGAGAAAACCCTAGCATTAACATAGTATAAACAGTCAGGGAAGTGCTATAGATTTTTACAGACAGTGTTCCACCTTCCAAGTGCACAATCTTTAAGAACACGACTACAGAAAATTCCTTTAAAAACTGGGTGCACTAAATTTATTAAAGACCAATTAAAGGAAAAAGTAACAACCATGCGAGAAATGGACAATGTGTGCTGCTTAATGTGGGATGAAATGTTATTGCAGCCCCACATTGATTACGATGCAACAATACGAGGAGGCCATAAGGGATGGAAATTTCCACTCGCTAATTTTTCTAGCTATAGCCAAACCAATAGCGAACGATTCATTAAATGCATTAAGGGTATGACGAAAATCATAGTGGACTGTGGTTTAATACCAGTCGCTTATGTATGCGACCAGGGGAAACCGAACGTGTCTGCCATTAACAAGTTGAAGTTTGAAACGTACATAAATACCTCAGAAAAATTAAAATATGGTAAATATTAATTTACTAACACAATTATGTAATGTTAAATCAATAATACTTAATTGCTTAATTTTACATGTTCATTGTTTGTTTGGTTATCACTGAAAAATTAGGCAATTGAAAATTTCCATCCTTTATGACTTCCTCGGTTCATAAATACTAAAATGCATGATCATTGCAATTCCTGATGTTTTGTAATCCTCAGTGGAATTTCATCCCACATTTAACAGCATACTTTATGAGTGTTTAAAATGTATAAATTGTATTATTACATTAAATGTTATGTTGTAATTTTTTAATAAAATTTTTATATTTGTAACTTTGAAATTATGTGTAACTTTTTTCTTACAGGTGAATGCTCCAGATCAGAGATTTATGATTTCTATAATTTTTCATGCAACACAATAATAGATAATTGAAAACATGAAAAATTACACGAATCGTAAATGTCTGATTCGAAGTATCCACTTCACTCCATTTAATTTTTGTTCCGAGTATATCTATATATATAAGTAACATATATATATAGTATGATATATATACATATATCGAATTTTAGTTCCCATAACCGCGAGCCTTCCTAGATGGTGTAGCGACTAATGCTTCACTTTTATGTAGAGGAGAGTTTCCGACCCCTGGGTGCAGATTAATAGTTGCGGAGATAAAAATTCTTTTCTGAAGGTAGGGGAAAGGTGTCTAAAACGATCCCTCGGGGTAAAATAATTCTTGGCTGCTCTGTGGTTATTAGTGGTGCTATATCGCAATGTCGTTCTACAATAGTTCTCCCCGCCGTTGCTCGAAGTGCCATGTGAATATCAATGCTCTATGTGTTGTCGACAAGAAAAATTTAAAATGACTGCAATTTATCTAAAATAAAGTGTTTTTCAACATTGTCTAACTTTTGTCATAAACGGTTTAATGTGATAGCTGCTTCTTGCGCGGATTTAACCACAATTTAATAATAAGTTAATTAATGTTTCGTTACCGCATGTAATATCCAACCACTGAATGTGAGTTGGGTGTTTGGGGTCATATGATCCCTAGTAAGTAGGATAAAATAAACCCATGAATTATTTTACCCATATGCTATATTATTGTTTTTTGTTTTTTGTCAAGCTGTTTTTATTTAAATAAAATGTAATAACTGAAATGTTTTTTAATGTTCGTCGTATTTACTCGACCTCCGGGGATCATTTTATACTCATACATTACAAAATGATGTTCAAATATGCCTTCAAAGAAATGTGAATAAAAAATATAATTGAGTACGTAGCTAAATTTTATTTAAGCCAATGATAAGATAGATAGACTAACTTACAAAAACTACTTTACTTTTATTTAAATAATGAGCATTTGTATTTTTTATATAAATTACGCCCTAAAGGGATCGTTTTAGA